CCCCCCCCCCCCCCCCCCCCCCCCCCCCCCCCTCCGCCTCCCGTCGAACGGCACAGCACCAGGCCTGCAAAAGCCCGGGTCTAAAGCTGGAACTAAACTAAAGCCCCACTCTCTCCCCCACCCGCTATCGTACCCTCCCAAAAATCCGTCTTATTTCCACCTACGAGTGCTTCTCATTCGAGAACCTTACTGTAAGCCGCTTCCCATTCAACAGCCAGTATTATCAGCGTTTTTTAATGCGTTTTTTGCATATATGCAAATTGCAAAAATGAATACTGACGAGGTGTTGTCTGTGTGTCCGTGTGTACGCCTGTCATGGTTTTTCATCTGATGACCTACAAAAGCTACAGGGTTGAAATTTTGGAAACTTAATCTACATGGACGTTCGGTCCCCAGCCCCCAAAATGGGCGCTCCTACCCGCATGGTATCCACGTACGGGCTCCTGAAAGTTTTTTGCGGGTAAGTAGCTAACTCGAGAACCAGAAAAGCTAGAAAGCTGAAACTTTAAGGGGGTGTTCCACGTCCACGTAAGTCTCAATGAGCTCAAATCCAGCCCTCGGGTATGCGTGGTATCCATGCACATGCCCGCCAAATTTTTTTTGAGTAAGTTACTAACTTGAGAATTTGAAAAACTAGAGAGCTGTAATTTTAAGAGGATATTTTCTGTCCATCTAAGTCTCACTGAGCTCAAACCCAGGTTTCGGGTATGCGTAGTATCCAAGTACGGGCCCGCTAAAGTTTTTTCTGGGTAAGTTGCTAACTCGAGAACCTGAGAAGCTAGAAGACTGGGATTTTGAAGGGGTGTTTCCTGATAGTCCTGGCGGCCAGTCTGAATAGCTAAAGCTAGAAGCATCTGCCGGAAAAAAACAGTGCCATTAGCGACAGAAATCTGCGGGGGGCTATGCAAAAAACGCATCTTCGCATGGGCAGCCCGTGCGTTGGCCAATCATTTTACTTCGTAAGACTTGCGTCAAATTTTGATAATGGGTTTAAAGGATGTGATTTCCTGGATTATCACTTCCATTAATGTCCTGGAACCACTTTGTTCCTCCCCTTCGCCCATCTTATTTCACCAGCTCCGCGCAGTCCCAAACGGATAATTCGGAAAAATGTCTTCAAACCGCTTTTTTGGTGCTTACTGTTTTCTGGAGAAACACTGCTTGGTCAATCCAGTTTTGCGGGAAAAAAATCATAACAGAAGTACGTACACGCATCCGAATGACTTATTTTTCTTACCGCGCTCTCAACTTGCAACCAGTGCAGAGGTCTACTGGAAGAGGGGCTGCTCCACAAAGCACAAGGAACGAGCTGGTCTTACTTAATCCGAACCTTCCACAACACAATCCAGCAAAATTAATGTAGGTCTCTTGGCTGTGCGCTGGTTCTAACGCTCGTCATATCGTCTGCCTCTATTACAATCTGTGAACTAGATAAAAACAAGGAAAAGGCGATAAATCATTAAGAAACATTCAAATAGTGAAGCACCAGAATGAAGCAATTAATTATTTATGTGGATAGTGTCTACAGTTTTGCACTCTGCAAACCACTGATTTTTTTGCTGCTCTAGGATTTATCATTTTATTCAGCAAAAACATTCAATGAGCCCGTAGGGTGGCGTTTGGTGTTATACATAACAGAACATGTCCACCAAAATATCCGAAAAAAAAACAAATAAATTAAAAAGCGCTAAAGTGTCAAGCGACACAGCAACAAAAATGGCGATCAATAATACTTTGTAGCCGTAAATGATTGTTTTGCTTAAGCTCCGACCATTTTTCACAGCATCCTGAAAAACTGAGTCTTTAAATTTCTCAAAAAATTGGCGAGTGATTGGCGTACAGGTCCTCTCGCATTTGTGCACTAGTAATTTTTGCATATTAAAAAGTATTTTCGTGGGATCTTGTCTGTGTGTATGCATGTGTGTATGCGTGTGTATGTGTGTGTGTACGTGTGTGTGTGTGCATGTATGTATGTGTATGTGTGTGCATGTCCACGTAATTCAATTCTAAAATGATGAGAGCTGTGAAACAAATAATAGTTTCTGGCTATGTACAGAACGAAAGGGCTCAAAGCAAATTATAATCTTTCTCTTTTTTATGCACGGAGTTATAGCCCTGCTACAGTGAGCAAAAACGCATACTGTCCAGAGTTCGTCTGTGTGTGTATGTGTTCGGAAGCGAGTGAACTTTGTTACCCACTTTCAACTCAGCAACCAGGAAACCTGGGAAACTAAAATTTTGGGAGCGCATTCCCACCCCACATGTCATTCATTCGTTTTAAAATCTTCGCTAATACGCGCCTAGATCTCACGCAACCTACGGAACCCCGAAAAAAATATGCAAATTTCTTTGGCGGTAGACGATTTTGTAAACTAGACAAGGCAGAAAGCTAAAACTTTGCAGAAATATTCTCTGTGCATGTATGAACTAAAGATTTCAAATTTAGCTATTGCACACGCTTGTGCAGCGCATGCGGTCATGTCGAAGTTTGCAGTTGTCACTGTGCTAATTCAAAAACTAGTCGGAAAACAGTAGCTGAAATTTTGTCTGAATATTTGTTTGTATGGAATTCGTATAGTTAAACTGAATCGCGATTTGCATTTGCGCCACGGCTTAGGGCACTTAAAAGGTATTTGTAGCAAAGCGGCCGTTTCATCTATAGAACAAGCAGCGAAGCTG